GGTTCGTCATCGTTCAAGCTGACGCCGACGCGGCCTTCGCCTCCATTCAAACACGTACTCCCCTGTCGTGAAGATGGCAACTGTTCGCACGTGCGCCGCATTCGTAGTCGCAAAGGGGTTCGTCATCGTTCAAGCTGACGCCGACGCGGCCTTCGCCTCCATTCAAACACGTACTCCCCTGTCGTGAAGATGGCAACTGTTCGCACGTGCGCCGCATTCGTAGTCGCAAAGGGGTTCGTCATCGTTCAAGCTGACGCCGACGCGGCCTTCGCCTCCATGGACAATGGCATTATGCACTACGTCGACCAACCACCCGGTTACGCTGACGGCACCAAGCGCGTGATGCTGCTCATGAAGGCGCTGTATGGCCTGAAACAAACAGCGCTAGCGTGGCACGACCACTGCCGCAAGATCCTCGTCTCCGTCGGTTTCCGCCCCAGTCAGTGCGACCCATGCTTCTACATCAGAAGGTCAGGGGAGCAGATGGAATTCATTTGCATTTACGTCGACGACTTTCTCGTAATGACCAAGACGGACGACGCAGCCAACAGGATTCTCGACCAGCTCGAAGCTAAGATGAAGCTGAAACGCCAAGGAAAAGTCGCATACTTCCTAGGGATCTAGATCAACTACGACGAGACCAAGCGAGAACATACAATGTCCCAGTGTGCCTACGCCAAGATGGCACTGGACCGGTTCGGCATGACCGACTGCCATGGGTATGCTAATCCCGAAGTGGACGACCGCGAAGGCCTATGGCACGATGAATCACAACCCTCGGCCGATCAGTCAACCTATAGATCCATGGTCGGATCACTCATGTACTTGATGTTGTGCACACGACGGGACATCGCCCACGCCGTCCAACGTCTGTCTCGACACCTCCACGACCCGCGTGAACCCCACATGGTCGGTGCCAAACGTTTATTACGATACGTCAAGACGACTCTCGGTCATGGACTCACGTACCAGACGAGAAACTGTGGACTCGTCGGCTACAGCGGCGCTAGCTGGGCCAATCGCAACGGACGCCGTTCGACCACAGGTTTGTGTGTTTTGTTGGCGGAGCGGTGTCGTGGAAGTCCGCACGTCAACGGGTCGTGGCGCTGTCCACTTGCGAAGCCGAGTACATCGCGTTGGTGGAGCTTGCGAAGGATGTCGTCTGGCTCCGCGGCCTTTTGCAAGAGTTAGGTGTCAATCAAAATGCACCGACACTTACCTTGTGCGACAACAAGTCGGCAATTGCGACAGCCGAGGGGAGCGGTGTCAGCGAGCGGAGCAAACACATTGACGTCAGGTTTCACTACGTCCGGCAACTGGTCGTCGACGGCACCATCGCTATCCACCACGTCGGGACCGCCGACCAACTCGCCGATATCTTGACCAATGTGTCCACGAGAGACGCCATCACGAAATTCAAGAACGCCGCGATGTCCACCGCAAGCCATGCCAAAGATGCAAACTGGACAGCACAGGCTGACCCACAACCAACATTGGGGAGTGTTGAGAATGTTGGTCGTTGATCAACAATCTGCATGTTCATATAGGAGCTACCACAGCCATCCATATCCACAGAGGTCTGAGGTTTATAACGAACAGTAATTCACTCTTGAATCTACACCACTGGCCTTGCAGCTATCAGCTCGCTCTTCCTCGCTTCAACAGTGGAGAGAGTGTTAGCTCAGTTGGTAGAGTATCGGTTTGCTGTCGGAAAGCTCGTGGATAAAATTTCCAGATTCCACGGAGTTCTCAGCCATACTATTCTCCACTCCCCATCCGAATTTGCAGGGTAGCGTAAGAAGTTTCGGACTCGAAATACTGCCTCAACGAAATATTCTAATGGACACCCCAAGTTTCCTAACATATGAGAAATGAGAAGCCAATTAAATTCAAAAAGGAGTAATTTCCTAACATGATTGGCACCTCTATACTACAATACCAAATAAGGTATTCCACTCCTATTGACCAATTGCAGTGCAGATACAAAAAAACTGTGATTGACTAACTGAAATTCGCCTAGTTGTAGCCAATCAAGTTGAACTAATTCAGGTAATTTAAATATGTGGATTATATTCTGCCTCCATGCGTATCAGGATGAAACCATGTCGGCATTTTCCGGGTTTACTGTTTTGCCAACCGCCCCAAATGCGTCATCATAGGCGTAGGGATACTACGTTAGATGTTTCAGTAGAAGTTTGAACCTGAGTGGCGATTAATCAAATCGATCGATTATTATATGTTTTTGTATACCTTAGAAAATTTCGTGTAACGACTTTGATTATACTCAACATGATCATCGTCGTCTGCGCAGGCAGCATGCATCGTGCGTACGAGACATTGGTGACTTGGAACACACGTGAAGGCATCGGATCACACTTCAACACTGGTGGAATGAACGGTTTTGCTTGGCCGATGAGAACGGATTCTTCACTTTGATTGGCGCATTTGCTGGATTTATTGGGAATGTCGCTCCGGCATAGAATATACACAACACAAGCTGTACAACGGTATTCTGAGTGGCGTACAGTGATGCCTCCATTATTGGCCTCCATTATTGCAACAGGACACATTCAATATCCTCCGAGAACTAATAAATTCATGTCGAGCAGTATGATTTGAAATTCAAACTTGTACCGCGACGGCTGGAAGAAGATTGACGCTCCAACAGAAGGAGGCTCCGCGTGACATTTACAGAGCTCAGCAGCATGCTCCGAGTCACCGCAGTAGAAGCATGCGGGTCCAATATGGTCATGGCACTTGACGTGGGCGTACGATGGCAGCGACCGACGTGTAACCAGCCCAAGGCTAGGATGTACAGGCTCACCAACAGCGGCATTAATCAGATGTGACCGCGTCGATGCCGAATCGGCGGAACCGTGTTCGCCAAGAGCCAGCGACCGCAAATGACGTGTCGCCAGTGCGTCCTTGATGGCGGCGTCGATGGAAGCAACGGAACAGGGTTGTCCAGAGGCCTTTGCATTGCTCGAAATAGCTCGAATTAGGTCCCAAATTTGCTTGTCGTCTGAAAACACCTCCGACAGTTTCACCATGTAGTGGTTAGTCCACAGGAAGGCGTCGTGGTCGACCGCAGGGATATCCAGGATGGTGGGGATCATGGCCGAGCGGTATTGGCTGGCGATGGACTTAACGTCGGCAAACAGAGTGTCGAGACAGTCACCTTCGCGATACTTGATCTTCTGTGACTGGGCGTTTAGTACCGCAGGATCGCTAATGAGAGGGTTATTAGCGAAACGGGACACAATAGACTCATAGAGAGTAAATGGACAAGTTATGTTGGAAAGCAACTTCCGAAGGGAGTCCACCATGGAGGAGTTGAGGAAGATGAGGGCCAGGGAGCGCAGACGTGTCAACGCTTTCGCCGTTTCAGCCTTCAAAGTAGCGCTCTTGACTGAGTGTATGTGAGCTTCGATTTCTTTTTGTCGAGCATCATGGTCGTTGCCTAACAGGTCCGGATCAACAGCATAAAGCTCAGGATGCTTTAGCTTATCCACTTGGACGTCGTCGTCCAGGATACTCAAAATAGAGCGATCAAGATCAGTTGGCACATAACTTTTGGTCGTGTAGAATGGGGTAAATTCATGACCATTGGCTTGGCTGATGAACAGAGGCTTCCACTCAAGGAAAGTACGGTTCTTGTCATCCAGAGGAGGCCCATTGCAGATAGGCGCAGAGGAAGCGTGAGGGCTCATAACTTGTCAAAACCGGGCAAAGTAGGCCCAAGCACTTATGGAGTCGGAGAAGCGAGGAGTAGAGTTGAGCGAGAGCCCAATAAAAATAAAAATAAAAAACCAATAACAAATAACATCAGGACCGGAGTGCACAATAGGAAAGAACGAAGAGTACGATTAGAGACGAGTTGTGCAGGGAGCGTTCACTAGCTATGCGGTGGCGACTTCGGATTAGCTGGGACACCAAGTATTGGCTGTTGATTGGACACAACACCAGGTGACTTTTGATTGGCCAAATAGTTTCTCCCTTTTAACTGCGGGTGAAAAACACCTGCAAAGAGCGGCCCCTTGACAGTAGGTACCTACGGGTCTTGATCACAGTATACCGATTTTCCCCCCGTAGCCGAACGCTTGACCCTGAACAATTTAACAGAATATAAACTTATGTAGGGATAAGTTGTCAAACGATATTGACGGCAACCATTTATTTGCTTATTCGCTATCGTTCACTTGCAAACTGAACAATCTACTACTGAATACGGCGAGTTCGCCATCCAGAATACCAGTTCGGGCCCAACAGTTGGCCAGAGTTGATCGCGACACTGAGAGCCATGCGTCCTTGGCCCAACCCATCGCAACATCAAGAGGTACTTCATACAATCTTTCCTGCCGTCCTGCAACACAATTGATTTGATCTAAGGCGTTCTGTAGCTGCCTTTTCTTCATTATACCATTACATTCTACAATTGATGTTTTGCCAATTTGAGCTTACCTCTGTACACCTCCGTTACTCTTTGGGAGGTGACCGCCCCAGTCAAACTACCAACCATACATGGTTCTTTCTTTTTTAAAGAATATTAGTTATTTATAATAATAAGAGTGGTATTTCAAAGAAATCTGAACAATTCCCTAGCAGGAAGGTCTAAGATTACCTTTCGCCTTGAATGCCGCAATAATATCCGCATCTTGTGGCTGCAGGTACACTGTGGTGTTCGGTGGCAACATTTTCACGCGAACGTTTGACAAAACTGTAGTGCCAGAGCAGCGTATGACATATTAGGTTCGCTTGCAAGTTTGACACAAACTCATGTTTCTCGACAAGGGTCAGTCGATGCTACATGTTGCGACGCTGGCGTGTTCAAAAGTTCTACTCCAGAGTATAAATTTACAAAATATATAAAGTATGACCCGTTCGGATAGAGGGGGAAAATCAGTAAGTTAATTATGACATCTGAACTACGGGTCTTGATCATAATATAAGTTTACTTTAAATATATGAACTTGAGCGTGCGATATCATTCAAACACTTCAAAACAGATATTTGGATCTTCGTCGTTGAGGTCATGAACATGAACACAGTTTTTTACAAAAGGCAATAGCAATATCCAATACTACTGATTTCCCCCCGACTTTGGAACAGGAAAAAAGTGCATTTTTGACAGTATATAAGGAATCACAGTTATTAGTTTTCACTCAAGGTTGGTTGAACCGATGGTTCGCTGTCAAGAATGCCAGTTCGTTTCCAGCAGTTTTGAGATGGTTACGTCGCGGTCTATGGAGCGTGCTTTGATGTCGGCACGCTGGCTTTGTGTCTTGTGTCGCGCGATGGCGCGTCCGACGGTCTGCTTCGATGGCGTAGAGCACAGATTGAACGTCTCCTTAGCCCAAAGTGCCAGCTCGGAATACGTCAAATGTGGTGCAAGGCATGTTTGTCGCCCAACATCATGCGCGGCTTCATCTCTGAATTGACTTTAGCCACATTGACATCATGCATGCATTTGAATATTTGAATGAACTTTGTCATTTGATATTGCAGTCAAGACTCCCATGAAGGGAACGAATTTGAGAGGTTCGAATATAGAATATAAGAGGAATAGAAGTTCACAAGTCGATACAAACTCAAGTATATTATCCACCCATACAAATGTCTAATGAGTCAAGAAACGGATAGATGTCGGATCCAAGTGCAGGCGTTGAAAGAGCACTGAGAGCTTTTCCATGCCATCGCCAAGAATGCTCGTATGGCAGTGTTCGGTACGCCC